GATCGAAAAGTCTATACATGTATAGTCGTGTCTATAGAAACATACACCTGCATCAATCGACACAGCTATACACATGTATGTATACACCTATCAACCTACCGATATAACTATCGATATATATATGTGTATATATATATAGCGGACAGGAGAAGACATGGGAGTTGGAGCCGTCTGGGGAACTGAGGTGGCCCACAGCTTCCAGCCAGCATGAAGGGCGGACAGGTTCGAAATTCTGAGTTCGAGACAGTGTTTGCCTTTTTCGGCCTTCGGCCTCAGGACCGTCAGAAACGGAATCCTGGCTAAAAGACTGCACCAGATGACCCCATGAGGGGTCTGGGGACCGAATTTGCCCGAGTTGGCTTCGTCCTCCCTCCTGACCGATTTTCCAAAGTCCCAACCAGGTCAGACCCCCTGGCCGCCCCCAGCACGGGAGGAGCGCATGTAGCTGGATCCCCTGCGAGGGAGGAGGAGGACCCGGACCTCTGGCGCCACGAGAACACGCCAAGGCCAGCAGGCCTTTCCAGAGCTATTGTGTCTCTGGAGGCCCGCGTTGGGCCCCGTGACAAAGTAGAACAAACAAAAAAAAACAGGGGTTGAAAACCAGCCGTAGGGGCAGGGCCCGGAGCGCCTGGAGGCCCGCGGCGTGGAGCAAGCCACGTCGTCTGTGGTCTGCGAGGGGGGGGGGGAGGGGAATCTGGCATCGCGCACGAGGAGAGCAAGGGGAGAGGGGGAAGGCTTCTTAGACGGAGGCCGCGTCTTCGAAGCCGCTGGCCCCGAATCTATGCACAGGACCCGCCACTTCTGAAAGAAGCAGGTGTGCTTCTAAGAAGCCATCCCCCAGACGATGGGAAGGGGGGGGGAGGAGGAGGAGGAGGAGGAGGAGGAGGAGGAGGAGGAGGAGGAGGAGGAGGAGGAGGAGGGAGAAGAATCCCCCTGTCCCCACCCCCCTCTGCGGGTGGTCGGGGAACGGGGGCTTTCGGGTGGAGAACCCAAAAAAAGCAGTCGCATAAGCGCTCGGATTTCCGCGCGGAGCTCCTTTCTTTGAGGGAGAGAAAGAGAGAGAGAGAGAGAGAGAGAGAGAAGACAAAAGAAGAGATAGTGAAAGAAGCAGATGGCCACGAAGCGAAGAACGAGATCGAGAGCGTGCAAGGCTGAAGCAGCCGTGGCCGTGGTAGCCATACGCACGGCATCGCCTATTTCGACGAGGCGTGCGAGCAGAAAGACAACTCGCGCACGAAAGCTCGCCAGAGCCTCCATCATCGCAATACGCGTCGCCAGCGCCAGGGCCGCAGAGCGCCACCCTCGTGGCCCACCACGCCAAATTACAACAATGTGTGATCTCGGGAGCTCGAGTTCCGGCAGGGCCGAACGATCACGCTCTGCGATAGGGGTCCTTGCGATAGAGAACTTCCGTCATGAAGAGCCACAGATACCCATTATACGTCTTCATTGTGCATAGCCCGTGGGCTTTACAAGCTCACCTCAAAGCATCGTACACCTCCTCCTTGGACGCACCAGTGGAACGTAGGAACTTGCGTGACACCGGATGCTTGAGAACCTCAGGGCCCCCTGGGGGGAGCTGCCAAGTCGCGCCGTCTGCGCCTGTTTGGAGCCATAGCGCTTGTGGGACGAGCATTTCATTGGTAACACGAAGGCCAGGTCTCGGTCTCGAGCATGCTCGAACCCGTTCGGCCTGGTGCATGCGACGCAGTGCGAACGCGTATGGGAACACTACCAACTTGCCCATGTTGAATGTGTACCAGAACTTGGTAATTGCTGGTACAAGCTCTCGAAGGCTGATCAAAGATGGCGTGGCACTCAAATATCCAAGCGCTCTGAGAGGTCTCGTAATTGCCTCGTACAGGGCAGAGTCAATGTCTGGAGGTTGGGGGTCAGGGGAAGAGAGGACGTCGACTCCGCCAGAGCCGTCTGGCAGCAGATATGCTTCGATCCCGACATTGCTCACCTCTTCCTCTCCTCGAAGGAGTAATACTGGCACCCCAGCGTGGACAAACTCCTGGGTATGAAAAGACGATCTGGGTGTGCTAGGAACAGCGATTGCTTGTTTACCCTCTTGAACCAACTTCTTAGCTAAAGGAATAAAATCCTGATCTCTCACGAGAAGAGCGATACACTGCACGTCTGACTCTGCCAACCGCATTGCCTCTACCCCGATAGCATCATCATTAGTGTCCTGGGCGAACCCTGCATTGCGCACGACCGTCTGACAACGAATGTGGTTGTCCTCCAGAAATGACAGGAAAGCAGGCTTGTACCACAAGCGTTCCTTCCATGCGGATCGCAGAGACAGCCTCCTTCGCTTCTTGAAGGCCCATGTTGCCCCCATCGATCAGCAAGACAGTGGAGGCCTCCGCCAAAGATTCAACCGCACACTTCGCTGGACACGCCGCAAAGCGTGGCGACGGCGATGGGCAGCTCGAGCACTGCGGCGCACGCCGAAGACTGCAGGAACAGCGGAGATGGCGCGGGACGCAGCGCCGACGCGGCGCCTCGCTCCGCTGGCCATCGATGGGAGAAGCGCGGGTCCTCGCAAGCCAAGGGCTTCATTGCCAGGGATCCCCTCGAGGCCAACAGGTATGTGTGGGAGGAGCCCACGAATCACCTGTGCGGTAGCGACGGCCATGCTGCCAGGGGGGCTAGCTGAGCTCGGAAAGCGTAATACCGCGAGTGACAAGATCGGCGCGAGTCGCAAATCGCTTGAGCCGGACTGACTTGAGCCAAAATGGCTACGGATGTCCGCGGGGAGCTCTTGGGTTGAGGTGGATGCCCCTCGCCCAAGAGGAGCCCAGAATCGAATCGATAAGTCGGATCGGCGATCGACATGAATTGGATTGGCGGAAATCGGCAGCCGTGTCGGAAGAAGTCGAATCGGCGGAAATCGGCAGGCCAGTAGGCCTCCATTGAGAAATCGGATCCCAAATCGGAATCCCAAGTCGAATCGAATCAGAACCGAATCGGAATCGGAAGCCATCGAAATCGAATCGAATCGGAGGAATCCTAAATGAGCCCTGCCTCGCCTGGCGCGTGAAGAGCGCCAGGGGGCGGCCCCTTTGAGGCGCCGCCTGGGGGGAGGGGGGCCCAGCGCCGACCCAAGAGCTTGTGCTTCTACTTCGGGGTCCTCCCCTCGAGCCCAGTGACGTATGCCCTGGAGCCCTGAAGCCCTTTTTTTTTTCCCCCGCCCTCACTTGAACGAAGGGTTTTTTTGCAATCCTTCGTTTTTTTGCAATCCTTCGTTCAAGTGAGGGCGGGGAGGTTTTTTTGCAATCCTTCGTTCAAGTGTCGGCATCGATCGGCAGTGTGGACACGACACGAGCAAGGTTCGCCCGCCTGTACCCCAACCGGCCCCCCGCGGACACGCAAGCTTGACTGGCCGGTCGGGAGGTCCTCCATGGTGCTTGCCGAGCTTTTGGGAGCCCTCTGGGAGAACTCTCGAAGGTTCCGGGGCGTCCTCGGAGGGTGGCTTGGTGCCTCCGGGCGGCGCACACGCGGAAGCGCGGCGAACCTCACAGTCGTCCACCTCCTCCTCCTCCTCCTCGTCCTCCTCCTCCTCCTCCTCCTCCTCCTCCTCCTCCTCCTCCTCCTCCTCCTCCTCCTCCTCCTCCCCCTCCTCCTCCTCCTCCTCCTCCTTCCCCTTCTCCTTCTCCTCCATCGACGTAATTGACACTGGAAGCCTCAACGTACAAGCTGCAGATGGCAGTCTGGACCATCCCCGAGAGGGTCGCCTGGGGGGTGGCGGCCAATCCATTGGGGAGAGCCTCGGACGAGGGGCTCCTGGACGAGCTGGGGTAATCTGGGAGCTTACCAGCCGCCTCGGGAACGATGTAACACATGGTCGCCATGATGGACGCCGGGCCATACTGGGTATCGGTACAGCGGCGTCTCTTGAACGCTTCCGCGTCACCGTCCTTGCTGAGGCCGACGGAGTCCCAGCAGCCCAAGGTCGCCTGCACGCCCATCTTCATCTTCGCCGGCTCAGCGTTCAGCTTCCTGCCAGCTCAGCGGTCAGCTTCCCTCTGAGCCCTGGCTGGGCTCGAGCCCAGTCTTCAAGCAGCAAGGCTGCGAAAGAAGCTGCAACTAGAGGCGGCTGGACTCACAGGCAGAACATGCGGAGGCCGCGCGCGGAACACACATCTGGAGGTCTGGCGTACCCAGCGGCACGAGGGCGAAGCGCTGGAAAGAAATGCGGCCACGTGTGTATCCGACGCCCGCCAAGGCCAAACACATCGTGAACTTGCAGCTTCGTGTGGTCGAGCCGATGCATGCCGCGCGCCGGACACCGGCACGCGTCATCGGATCGATCGGAACGTGGAACGCCCTCCAACGCTCTCCTCCTGAGGCGAAAGAGGGACGCCGATAAGTTCGCACGAAGCTGAACCCGGGACCTCTGAGAGCGGGCAGGTCCAGAGAATGTACCGGGCGGCACGGCCGCTCGAGAGCGCTCCACGACGCTTCCAGCGCGTCCAGGAACGCTCTGGAACAATGACTCTTCATACTAGGCCTGCCAGACCTCCTCTACCTCCTCCAAACTCAAAACTCCCCAAGAGCATGCTTCTTCAATCCAATACCGAGCCTGCTATTTTCGGTAGTGCCACCTCACAGGTGTTCGCCGCCCACACTGAAAAACAACTGGTACGCTAGCGAATCGATCATCGGCGGTTCCAGCAAGCGTAGCGTGGCTGGAATCCAAGCATGCACACAAATTAGTTTGGCTAATCCTACGCCGTCCTATACTACACAGCACCCTCGCTTCGTTCTGCAGACCACGGGGGACGGCATTCTGTGACAATTGCGCGGTCCCTTGTGGCGAGACGCTGATCAGAACGTCGGGGGAGGAGAATCGATTCTATCTACTGAATTCGGGGAAAAAACAAGCATAGCCGATCGGCTCCATCAACGCGGCGCGCCCTGGACAACGGGACGGACTCCCACCTTGAAGCACCTGACGTGACGACGCGACCGCGGCCAGGAACTGAGCGCGGTCACGCAGGCACTACGATCCTTCCTGCGGGGTCGGCCTCGTGCGGCGTCGGTTGGCAAACATCCTCAACAGACGAGCGGCCCTGCACGGCCTCGGCCGCCTCTTCTCGAGACGACTCCCCGCACGTCGCGTACGAGTAATAGATCGGCCTTCCGTGATAGAGGGTGCCGTGCAGCAGCTTGCTCCGACGCGGCGGGACGGACAGGTTGCACGCGCACGGGTCGACGAAGCACCAGCCCTGCCAGCAGCGGTCCGGCGGCTCCATCACCTGGCACTCGTCCAGGATCTTGTCCCACATGGCGCAGTCGCCGCCGAAGCTCCACGGCACCACCTTCTGGCTTGGGACGAGGGGGGCGGCCGCCCCCCCCCCCCCCCCCCTGCAGGCATCCGCCCTCGATAACACGAAGGAGGAGAGGAGGAGGAGGAGGAGGAGGAGGTAGGAGGGAGGAGGAGGAGGAGGAGGGGGAGGAGGGGGCAAAGGAGGAGGAGGAGGAGGAGGAGGAGGAGGAGAAGGCGGCGATGGGGCCTCTCGGATGAGGGCCGCCCCGCTCCCCGAGGCCTCCCCGAGAGAGGGCCGCCTCGTCGAAGACACGAGGGAGGGCTTCCCGGAGGCTGCCGGCGCCGCCTCAAGAGGCCCCGCCCCGTTCCCCCGGTGCGCGATGTCGGTGCGCAGCTGCCCGTCAAGCGGCTGGAATAGATGTGCGGCTCCACACACACACATAACTAGATGGCCCTATGCACTATATGAAGAGACATCGATGTGCATCCACAAACATTCATGTATACATATATATATACACCTGACTATATAAGTATGTATAAATATACATAACTAGTGCATAGATGTGTGAGTGTGTGGTTGCGTGTGTGTGTGTTTGTGTGTGATGTGTGTTGTGTGTTGTGTGTGTTGTGTTGTGTGTTGTGTGTTGTGTGTTGTCTGCGTTGTGTGCGTTGCGTGCGTTGTGCGTTATGTGTTGTGCGTTGTGTGTTGTGTGTTTTGTGGTTGTGTTTGCGTGTGTGCGAGTGTGTGTGCGTGTGCGTGTGCGTCTGTGTGTGCGTGTGCGTGTGCGTGTGCGTGTGCGTGTGCGTGTGCGTGTGCGTGTGCGTCTGTGTGTGTGCGTGTGCGTGTGCGTGTGCGTCTGTGTGTGTGCGTGTGCGTGTGCGTCTGTGCGTGTG